TATCGCTGCAAATAACATTGAAACAAATTTCATTTTATTTTTAATAGAATAAGAAAAGATTCAATATTTATGGGCAACCATTATAATACCTTTTACAAATAATGCAATGCTTGTTAAAGTCCTCTTGAAGTTGGAGTATATCTGAATTTGGTTCTTTATAAAATTTAGTTCGATAACTAACATTGTTTAACAGGCTTCTTAGACTCTGCTTAGGATTTCTAGGAAGAATAAATTCTGATGTTCCAATAAGTATTACTTCTATATTCATTGAGTAATAAGGCAAATAGAGTAATTCAAATTTCATTTTTTTTGTTTTAAAATGACACGACAACTCATAATTCACGGTATAATCCATTTGAAACTCTGTCAAATTAATTTGCCAAGTTTCTGGAGTTCCCTCAATTCTCGCCGTTACTGAAAACCATTGATCATCGGATTTTTGTGCCCAAATTCGTATAAAGTGATCACCGGAAAACTGATAGTTATCCGGATGGTTATCCGAACAATATAGGGATATTCTGATGGGGTAACACGCTTCATAAAATTCGATATCTTCAAAATAGAAAATATAATTATTATATATAAGTATATATATAATCTCTTTTCTCAACAAAGTATATCTTTAACAAAATCTTATCTATTCGTATATTACTTACTAATACATTTTGTTAAGGTGCAAGCTGTAATGTCTCTATCCACCATTATATTATTTTGTGGCGTGTTATCAGATGCTGCGTGCTTTAATGGTCCGGAAATTTTCTATATTAAAAGATAAGCCATAAGAATGTCAATTAAATACTACAAAATCTTGCACAAAGTTAAATTGCGTTTTATACAAGTCGATAATAGCAGTACAGTAAAGAAATACATATATTGCGGCATTGCTACAATAGTGTCATATCTTCAGTGAAATTGACAATTTTGAGTTATTCATTGGAAGAAATGGATTTTGGCGTGTACTATATATTATATACAGGGTTGGAAAGTAACACTTGTTACTTGTAACGCCGTTACTATTTTCATTACTTTTTTTCAGTAACGATCGTTACTTTTTTCTCTCTGTAACGGTAACGGTAACGTCATTACATTTTTGCACTAACGGTAACGAATTTGCCGTTACTTTTATCGTTACTTTTTTATTCTTTTAAATACATCCTAGGGTTTGTCAAGAATAAGTAAATCAACAATAGA